CTGCCTGGTCCTAATCACTCACCTGCCTGCCTGCCTGGTCGCCCCTAACTGCGCCGCCCCCCACCCCTACGCCGCTGGCCTGATCGCCCCTCACTGCCTCTGTGTGCCGGCCTGGTCACCCCCAACTGCCCCCCTCCCCGCTGGCCTGGTTGCCAACTGCCCCCCTTTGCCTGGTCTGGTCACCCCACACAGCCTGCTGTTCAGTTGTTTGGTCGTCCCTCACTAACCCCCCTGCTGGCCTGGTTGCCCCACGCAGCCTGCTTGTTCAGTCGTTTGGTCTTCCCTCACTAACCCCCCTGCCAGCCTGGTTGCAGGCAGCCATCTTGTGAGGTCATGAGGGTTAATTTGCATATTACCGCTTTATTATATAGAATCGTTTTAAGATACTGTGGTATGTAAAGTAGTATTTCACCAAAATGTCTTAAACACAAGCTCATGCACATTTTTATTTTTTTCTCAGTAAGTATTATATTTACATGGCTCAAAAATCTATATATATAATAGCCTAAGCAACCTTTACAACTGAACGACCAGAATAACCAGTTGACCAGTCACTATTACTCACACTGACCACCAGGGGGCAGATGCTCAATGCAGGAGCTGTCCCCTGATGGTCAGTGCGCTCCCGCAGCCGGCCAACCTCCCCCAGTCCCTCCCTGCAGCCAGCCTACCTCCCGCAATCCCTCCCCCTGGCAGGCCAACCTCCCGTGGTCCCTCCCCCCAGCCAGCCGGCCGGCCAATCTCCTGTGGTACTTGCCCCCAGCCAGCAGGCTCTGATCAGGGCTGGGTGAATTTGTGCACCAGGCCTCTAGTATAATATAAAACACTCTAAATATAAAAATGTGAAAATTCATAATGAAAGCCTCCTTCCCACTGTCTTCCATCTGCCCAGTTTCACCTCAACTGCTGAAAAGGAACACTATTAGTGTGACTAGCTTTCCAGGATCTCTTTCTATATATACAAATAATTATCCTCTCTTTCCTTCCTACATAAAAGGTATAGCACAATATACATGCTACTCTGCATTTTCCTTATTCTGCATATATATTTTAGTAATCTTCCCAAATCTAGTACACAGATGACAATCTTACTCAGTTACAAACTATTCCATTGTGCAGACCATAATTTACTTAGTCCCTCTGGTATATGTTCTATTTTGTTGCAATCTTTTACTATTACAAACAATGCCGTAATAAGTGACTTTATACATGTTATTCATATATGTACAAGTACATCTGCAGAAATAATTGCCAGAAATGGAACTACTGGGTCAAAATTACGTGCCTCTGTATATCTGACAGATCTTGTAAAATTGTCCTTTATAAAGATTCATGTATTTTAACTCATTCCAATAATGTGTCAAACTATTTCCTCAAGCCTTAGCAAGGTATCATATTAAACTTCAAATTTTCATGTTCATAACATACTGAAATGAATCTAATATTCTAAAACACCACAAGCCTCTTTACATAGTTATTAAAAACTTGTTGTTGCCCTGGCCGGTTTGGCTCGGTGGACAGAGTGTCGGACTGAAGACTGAAGGGTTCCAGGTTCGATTCCAGTCAAGGGCACATGCCTGGGTTGCGGGCTCGATCCCCAGTGGGGCCGTGCAGGAGGCAGCCAGTTGACGATTCTCTCTCATCATTTATGTTTCTATCTCTCTCTTCCTCTTTGAAATCAATAAAAATATCTTTTTTAAAAAAAACAACTTGTTTTAATCATACACACTTACCCTCCTTCTTCTGTTTGTTTATGAATATATGCTAATAGATCTGCAGCTCTGCCTGTTCCCTCACATATGACAACTGGTACAGGAGGACTTTCCTGAAGGTATTCTAAAACTGTGAGTATAACATTTGGCCCACCTTCAAAAATAAGTGCCACCACAGGGACACCCTGACCAATTCCTAAAAAAAGGAAAAGATTCGTTAAGATATTAGGCAAAATTAGCAATTTAATCTTATTTTTTATTCATCAAAAACAAAATAAAAATAAAAGGCCAATATAATTTCTTTCAATACAGTGTTGACTTCATTTTAAGCATTTAACATGATACTAGTCTGGCATAAATTAAATACTGAATAAGCTACTTTTTCATTGACTTATAAAGTCTGTTTTAATTGACAAAATTAGAAAATCCAATATATAATTAGACATACACTAGAATTTATGTATTTTCTGAAAAGTAAAAATATTTTGTATATTTCACTAACAATTCTTGGTAAGAAATGTATAACGTTAATTTGTATTAGAGTTTGCTTCTAGTTGAATTTCTAATATATGTCTGTTTTATTTATTATTAAAACATATATTTCTGATTCCAAATAATTGAGACATTAATAAACATTAACAACAGAATTAGGGTTACATAAAGGGAACTGATTAATAAAATACAAGACCTCTACAAGAGTAATAAATAAATTTATTAAAGAATGTCAATTTTTGTTTTTAATAACCTGCAATGCAGCGAGAGAATTCAAAATATACATAATTATAGGATTAAAACATTCGTAATTTTAAAAAGGGATGCTAAGACTCCATCATAATTTGAATACAATGTTCTATAATTTTGAATTTCTATTTCCCTTTGTCATAGAGCTCACCTTGTTGGTTTCCTAAGATTACACAATTTCTCCTTTTTAAAATAAATATCTAGACGTTGAGGGAACCAGAAAGTTTGACTATGGTTGAAAAGGAAGACCAGTATTAAGAATACCAACTCTAAGACATACCTACCAAAATGAGATACTTACTCATGTTAAAAACTTTAAGCAAGGTTATTCTTACTTTGCAATAAAGCATATTTTCCTTTTTACTCTTCATCTTGAATTTCAAAGTCATGCATTAGAATATATCACACAATAAGATTATTTCTGAATTCTTTGGGCTACAATAGGATTACAATGGCAACAGAGCATCCAATGGACCTTTGTGGCTTCGACCTCAATATCTGAGTACCCTCAGATATTTGGCCTCAGGCTTCTTTTCCTAGGTCACCTTATTTATCTAAGGTCAGTCATCCTTGGTTGTTTCACATGCTATCTTGCTACATAATAAAACCAGTACTTCAAAGAACATTCTATCTTTTAAGAATGTTGCTGGCAAGTAATATAGCCCAGAATAATTTCAACAACGAATTTATAATTTCAATAATGAATTTATATATTCCCTTACTAGCATGAATTCTTTGCTGATTAACAGTTTTTTCAAGTTCTCTTCTCAGCCTGACTTCTGCCCCATACTTTCCAACAGTGCCATCATCCACCAATATGAAATGGGAATGTAGATTATTCAGAACATTCAATTTGCTCAGAGGGTTCAATAAGGTTTGATAAGGAGCAACCACCTAAACAATATCAAATATAGGAGTTAGTGGGAAAGATTAAATATAACATAATGTAAAATAAAAATAAATTGAAATAATCTATAAAGGAAAGTAAGGTAAAATTCCATTTACCTATGGCAACAAATAGAAAGTATAAAAGAATACATAAAAAAGCACTAGCTTTTAAGCAGCCAAAGATTAATCAGTAATTGGTTGAATGATACAACTAAATTTTGTTTCTTATTGCAGAATATATTTCATTATCACATGCAAAGGAAGCAGCAGCATATAAGTAAATAATGTGAAAAAAACACAATTAGTTTATTGGTGAATAAAGAGTTAATACATAAAGCACACTAAATAAAAGCAATCAAAAGTTATATTGCTATTTTTCTAGCCATAAATAGGATCTTTAAAATTGATATTAGAAATTTAATTGCACTTAAAAGGGATCATTATAAATTAGTCATTCCTTTTTGATAGTCTCTTGATAAACATAGCCAATTCACATCTTTAACCTATTCAAAGCATTTGATTACTAGTCATAGTAACAATAAATTAATTCTTAATGTTATGCAATCATTAAAAATTTAATTACAAAGACTGGCATGAAATGGAAAAAGTGTGAAATAATTATCTTAAAAAGACAGAAACCAAAATCTACTAACACTCTAATGATAATTACTTGTATCTATGACTGTATAGTCAAGATGATCAGAAGGAAACCTTAGAAAAATACTTTTAAAAAAGTAAATCTGAAAAGTATTGTACGTTCAAGAATATTTTTAGATGACTAAAAGATCCTTGTTTTAATTTTGCTTACAAGTAAGTTCAAATACAAGAAATTTAAAAATCATTCTTACATCTCTCCCAACAAGATCATTTCTGTTTTCAATCACTCCCCATGGAGCTATTCCAATAGTGCAAATCTTCCGAGATGATCTGGAAGCATGTTCTTTGAGGGCATCACCAACATGTTTGGCCACACCTGTTCATACAAAATAGAATTCACTTTACCTAAAAGTCTTCATTGTGTTCAGAACAATCGTGTGCTCCATCTGTAACATTACAATTTGTGATATTTTTCTTAACACATACAAGACAAAAGGCAACAAGGTCAAAAAAACAAACAAAGAAAACTCAAGGACCAAAGAGAAAAAAAAACTACAATTTCGGATCACTACAACTGCCTAAAACACATATAAAACTTTTACCATGTTCTTATGCTTACTTCTCTCTTAGATTCCTCAATGTAAGTAACTATCGTTTTTTGTTATTGCTCTACACACCATCTCAAAAAACAAAAAGTATGGCTTAGGACTATAAGCAACATACATACACCAACACACACACACACACACACACACACACACACACCCCCCAAATAATTACAAAAGTTTTCTAATGAATCAAAACCTGGGAGAATAGTAGAAAAGACAATTCAAAAGACCACATAAGTCCTCATTATGATTTGTTATGAACTTAATTGCATCCTCCCCAAAATTCCTATGTTGAAATCCTAATCCTAGTACCTAAAAATATGACTGTATTTGGAAATAGGTCCCTTAGAGAGGTTATTACATCAAAATGAAGTGGCTAGGGTGGGTCCAAATCCAACCTGACAGGTGTCCTTACAGGAAAAAAGAGACACAAAAAGAGGCACCATGGACGCACATGCACAGAGGAAAGGCTACGAGAGGACACAATGAAAAGGTCACCATCTGAATGCCAAGAAGAAAGGCCTCGGAAGGAACAAAACCTGCTAACATCTTGATCTTGGACCTAGAGAAATATGAGAAAATAAATTTTTGTTCAAGCTACCCTAATCTTGTGGTATTTTGTTATGGCATTTGGCATTGTGGTATTTACAGTCTACTTTCAAAATATCATATAAGTGCTCTTTGCTCTTGTCAACTCTGCTTAAAACCATCCCTTCTCATTCAGAGAAAAAGTCACAAGTGATTAAAATGGATTAAAGGCCTACTATAAAGATCTTCCTATTGTCCCTGGTATTCACCATGCTACCCAATCCTCACCACCATCACACACCCACAACTTTCTGATCTTACCACCTAGTACTTCTTGCTCTTTCCACTCCAGCGATACTGAATGACCCCTTATTACTATTCTCCCAACACACTAGCTGTTTCTTCTTTAAATGCTGTACTCCACATTACTCTTATCTTACTCCTTCACTTCCTTCCATCTCTACTCAAATGTCACTTTATTAGTGAAGCCCTAGCCACCATCCCTATCATCTCTACAATATATTTCATGTGTCTGCATAGCACTTATAATCTTATTACACATTTGTATGAGTTCAACATAGGTTTTATTCTTTTTTTTTCCAATAACAGTTTACATCATATTATGTTGTACTAGTTTCAAGTGTACAGTATAGTGATTAAGCATACACTTTACAAAGTGCTCCACCTGATATTTCCAGTACCTATCTGGCACCACACACGTTACAGTATTAGTGACTGTATTTCCTATGCTGTGCTTTACATCCCCATGACTATTTTGTAACAACCAAACTGTACTTCTTACTCACTTCACCTTTATCACCCAGCCCCATAAACCCACCTCCCCTATGGCAACCATCACTCTATTCCCTGTATCTATGAATCTGTTTCTGTTTTGTTTCTTCATTTATATTGTTCTTTAGATTCCCACATATAAGTGAAATCATATGGTATTGTCTTTCTCTGACTGATCTATTTCACTTTACCCTCTAGAGTCCATACATGCTGTTGCAAATGGTAACATTTCATTTTTTATGGCCGAGTAATATTTCACTGTATAGATGTACCACATCTATGTTATCCACTAATCTACTGATAGGCACTTGGGTTGCTCCTATATCTTGGCTATTGAAAGTATCACTGCAATGAACATAGGAATACACATATTTTTTTGAATTAGGGTTTCTTCGGATATAAACCTAGAAATGGAATTTCTGGATCATAAGGCAGTTCCATTTTTAATTTTTTGAGGTAACTCCATACTATTTTCATAGTGGCTGTATCAATCTGCATTCCCATCAACAATGCATAATGGTTCCCTTTCTTCCACATCCTCACAACACTTGTTTGTTCATTTATTGATGACTAGGGGCCCTGTGCATGAAATTCGTGCACTGGGGGTGGGGGGGGGGGGCGCTCCTCAACCCACCCTGCCCCCTCTCACATACTGGGAGCCCTCAGCGGACGTCCTACTGACGGCTTAGGCCCGATCCCTGATCCCCTTGGGGAGTGGGCATAAGCCGAAGTCTGGCCTCCCTTTGTGGGAGGCGACTGGGCTGATCAGGGGAAGGCACCAGCCCCATCACCCCGCTGCTGCAGCCACTGCCAGTCACCACAGCCACCAAGGTGTTTGCAGCAACACGGACTCCAGTCCCTTCACTATGAAAAATAACAACTTTCTTTAGGCATTTTCAAGATGTGTCTTTCATAGGATATGACATTTCTTTCTCCATTATTTTTTTTATCCTCACCTGAGGATATGTTTCCATTGATTTTTAGAGAATGTGGAAGAGAAAGGGAAAGACAGAGAGAAACATCAAAGTGAGAGGAACACCTTGACTGGCTGCCTCCTGCATGAGCCCTGACCTGGGCCCTGGCCAGGGAGGAGCCTGCAACCTAGGTACATGCCCTTGGTCAGAATTGAACCCAGACCCTGCAGTCAGCAGGCAGAGGCTCTATCCACTGAGCCAAACTGGCTAGGGCAGGATATGACATTTCTTAGCCCTCCAGCAGGGGACCTCATTTTTTTCGCCAGGAGTGTGGTGGAAAAACCCTAAGTCACCTTCTTGGATTCTTATTACCCAAGTTTCTAAGAATATTACCAGTGGCATACAGGGAGCTTAGCCAATGAGCGGTCAGAAAAGGTGTTTCCTCTGTAGTTCACACCAACTGCCTTCTTGGCCACTGCCCAGGCCTAAAGCCTCGGGGCCTGGGCAGGGATCCCCGAGCTCTCTCCCAGTGGCCCCTGCCCAGGCCTACGGCCTCTGGCTGGGGCTTTAGGCCTGGGCAGGGAACCCCCAGCTCCTTCCGATCGCAGACTCCACCCCTGCCCAGGCCTAAGGCCTCTGCCTGAGGCGTTAGGCCTGCGTTAGGCCTGGGCAGGGGACCTCCAGCTCCCTCCGATCACCAGCTCCACCCCTGCTCCCACCGATCGCCAGCTCCGCCTCTGCCCAGGCCTAACGCCTCTGGCCAAGGTGTCAGGCCTGGGCAGGGGACCCCCAGCTCCCTCCGATTGTGGGCTCTGCCCCTCGGCTCTGATCACAGGCTCAGGCCCTGCCCAGGAGCCCCCTGGCTCAGGCCCTTCCTAAGTTGCTCAGGGCCCACACAGGGCCTACCTCAGAGTGACCTGGGTGCCCGATGATGTTCCCGGGACCCAGACCGCCTACATATGCAAATTAACACCATCTTTGTTGGGTTAATTTGCATACTCTCCTGATTGGCTGGTGAGTGTAGCGGAGGGATGGTCAATTTACATGTTTGTCTATTATTAGGTAAGATAGCCATTCTGATGGGTGTGAGGTGATATCTCATTGTGGCTTTAATTTGCATTTTTCTGATGATTAATAACCATCTTTTCATATGTCTATTAGCCATCTATATTTCCTCTTTGTGGAGAAATGTCTATTTAGGTCCTTTGCCTATTTTTAAATGAATTATTTGTTTTTTTAGTGTTGAGTTGTTCTGAGTTCTTTATAAATTTTGGATATTGCCCAACCGGCATAGATCAGTAGTTGAGCATCAACCTATGAACCAGGTGGTCACGGTTCGATTCCCGACCTGAATTGCAGGCTCGATCCCCAGTGGGGGGTGTGCAGGAGGCAACTCAATGATTTTCTCTAATCATTGATGTTTCTATCTCTCTCCCTCTCCCCTCTCTGAAATCAATAAAAATATATTTAAATTTAAATAAACAAATACATTTTGGATATTAACCTCTTATCGGCTGTATCAGTGGTGAGTAGCTTTTCCTATTCAGTGGTTTGTCTTTTCATTTTGTTGATGGGTTCCTTTGTCAAACAAAAACCTTTTAGTTTGATATAATCCCTTTTTTTTGTTTCCCTTGCATGAGAAAAAATATTACTCAGTGAAACTAAGATATTATACATTTAGTTATCTGTTTGTTACCTGCATCTCCCCCACCAGAATGTAATCTGCATGAAGGCAAATATTTTGTTTTGTGGAGTGACATATTTTCAGTAGCCAGAAGAATACTTAATACACAATAAGGCTCTAAAAACAGTTGTTGATAATGAATTAGATATTTGCAAACTAATTTAAGTAATAATTGCTTTACTTTGGACATTAAAACTAATTGGTCTTTCTAAAATCTAACCTGCAGATGTGATAGGGAAGACTTAGAAAGATTATAGTATATTAAAAATTAATTTTGAAAGCTACTTCTTACTACTGGCTAGGCAATGGACATTCCATTCTTGTACCAATTTACCAGTAGCCAGAAAGTGACAGGAATAATAATAATACTTTTCTCTTGCCCTAACCGGTTTGGCTTAGTGGATAGAGCGTCGGCCTGCGGACTAAAGGGTCCCAGGTTCAATTCCGGTCAAGGGCATGTACCTTGGTTGCGGGCACAACCCCGGTGGGGAGTGTGCAGGAGGCAGCTGATTGCTGTGTCTCTCTCATCGATATTTCTAACCCTCTATCCCTCTCCCTTCCTCTTTGTAAAAAATCAATAAAATATATTTAAAAAACAATAATAATACTTTCCTCTATAGTAGGGGTTACTAACCTTTTTTTGTAAAGGGCCAAACAGTAAATGTTTTAGGCTTTGCAAAATATAGCTTTTGTTTTCTGCTAAACTAGAACAAAAGTAGCCATAAATAACACAAAACCAAATGAATGCAGCTATGTTCCAATAAACCTTTATTTACAATAACAAGGAGTGGACTGGATTTGGTACATAGGTCATAGTTTGCCAACCCGTTCTAAAACATATTATTTTTTAAAAAGACTAAATGAAAACCTAAAACTTTTACAGTTACCATTTATATCTAGAAACTGTAGATTATTTAACAGAAAAACTGAATATATTTATATTCAATGTTGACTATTGTTTCAAATATCTAATTGATATTCTGAAAAAATTATAAACAGACTAAATAAAATTAGTATAATTATCACAGTACCTGTGTTTACTCCTCCAGTTAAAATCCAGGCTCCAGTTGTAACTGCAGCTTTAATAAGACCTTTTCCAAGCAACTGCTTGATTCGTGGGTGAAGCTCAAATTTCTGCATGCCCCCATGTACAGAGATAACAAGTTTGGGTAATTCCATTTGCCATTCTTTAAGCAGAAGTTGCAGAATGACTTCAGTTTTGGTGTCATATGATAGTCTAACATACTAAAAAAGACAAAATAATTGACTTTTTTAAAAAGACAAAATAATTGACTATGTTCATAGGTTTCATAATACAACATTACACAACTTGAGAAAACTTTTATTTTAATTAATTATAAAGTAGATTTCATAGGCTACTTTTAATATATTTACACTTTGAATAAGCAAGAGCAAATGATTTTAAAGTTGGAAAGCCATTTTGTACGAGCTATAGAAGTAGTGGCATTCTAATGTTTAAAATTTAAGATTAAGATATAACTGTGTTACACTTCCTGCTTATATAAATTCATTTACTGTTCATCCAATTTACAAATTTATCCAGTTTTTATTAGCTTGTTTAACTATGAGTATGCAGTGAATGAGAGGTATTAAGGCTAACTACAATGATGGAAAAAAGAAAAAGAAAGAGCCCTAACCGGTTTGGCTCAGTGGATAGCGTCAGCCTGCGGACTCAAGGGTCCCAGGTTCGATTCTGGTCAGGGGCGTGTGCCTTGGTTGCGGGCACATCCCAGTGGGCGGTGTGCAGGAGGCAGCTGATAGATGTTTCTCTCTCATCGATGTTTCTAACTCTCTCTCCCTTCCTCTCTGTAAAAAATCAATAAAATATATTTTAAAAAAAAAGAAAAAGAAAGAATGATGAAAATAGAGGCTTCTACAACTCTTGCTATTAAAAAAAGCAAATACTACATTATCTATTTGAAAGTTTTGTCAATGATCAAGTCCATTTATAGAAGGACTGTGGCTATGCAGTAAAGTAACAAAAATATTTTTAATATAAATGATGGTTTCCCTTGATGGAAGTAATTATAGATTTGATCCACAAATTACCGAAAATAATAAATTTTACTCAATATTCTAAAGTGTTCAGGTGGATTTACCAGTTTAATTTTTTTTAAATCATTCTATAGAAAATAAACCATCATTTCCTCTGATTTAGATTTTAAAAATTATATTTCTGTTAGTGACATCACAAAATTTACTTGCTATGACCACTATACTTCATTCTCTTTGTCTAATGCACCTATATGATTCACCTCATAAGAAATCTGAAACATTCAGATGTTGGAATAAAAAACACTTTTAAACATCTCTAAGAAAGGTTCTTTACAAAACAATATATTGCCCATTCCATTACAAATATCAAACACCAATGAAAAAATATGCTAAAGTATCAGAATTCTTCAACACTGATTAAGATTCCAGAGTCCCTTAAGAATGATTTGAAAAATACTTGTTCTATACTAAGTATTTCTGCATTAGTTTAATTTAACTCATTATTATAATTAATACAGTACACACAGTAGTATTTGGAAAAGAGTCTAAAGCTAATTTTTTTTTTAAAGATTATGTTAAGAATAAATGAGGAATTCTACTTCTGGCAATGAACTAGATTGCTCTGGACCATCTCTGCCCCTGGAAACTAGAAAAACTAAAACTAGGTAAGTAACATCTGTTTTGAGGCATCAGAGGGCTATCAACGCGATGAAAACTTGTGGGTTAAGGATCCATGAGAATGGGAAAACTTTTAGAGATGGGAGACCAATTGGCACTATTTTCCCGTCAAGAGAAGGAGGCAGGAAGAACAATGTAAAGAGTAAAATGTTGGTAAATCTAAATGAAAAACAATTATGTTTTGGGGTTTAAAATACACAAAGAAATAAAATTCATGCCATCAAAAAGCACGTAAGCCATAAGGAAAGTAAATGCACTTACAAATGTTCCAAAGGATCTTGCATTGTCAGAAAGTAGTATAGTACTAATTTATAATAGTAACAAGTTAAGAATGTATTCATAGTGTTTATAAAAATACTGTAAGCCCAGCTGGCGTGGCTCAGTGGTTAAACGTCAACCTATCAACCAAGGAGGTCATGGTTTAATTCCCCAGTTGGGGCACATGCCCAGGTTGCGGACTCCATCCCCAGTGGGGGATGTGCAGGAAGTAGCCGATCAGTGATTCTCATCATTGATGTTTCTATCTCTCTCCTTTTCTCCCTTCCTCTATGAAATCAATTAAAAATATATTTTTTTAAAAAGAGAATAGAGAAATAGAAAAAAATGTATAAATAACATGCTAATAAGGAAGGAGGAAAAGAATAAAAAAATATTTAATCCAAAGACACAAGGAAACAAAGAAAAAGTGAGACAGTAGACAATACTTTTTAAATTTTTGAAAAGAAACCCATAAAGAAAGGTTAACAGTAAAATAAAAGAAAAAATTAGCTATGCTGATTACTGAAAAAAGCAGGCTTAGTCAACAAAACTGACAAAAAATAAAAGACATTTTATAATGATAAAAAGTTCAAGTCACCAAGGTATAACAATTATATATTTTACTCACTTCTACAAAGAACTTAAAAATATGTAAAAGAATTACTCGGACTGATTTCCTGACATAGCATTATATAAACTGTCAGATAACAAGAGTATATCATTTAAATAACAACGTAAATGAAGTAAAGAAACCAAATATGTGACATACTTTAGCTCTGTAGGAATGAGAACCCCCTTGAAAATTAATGACTCCATAAGCATCCGTTGGGCTCTGTTCCGTATGCTTTTCCACAGACCATTCTTCTAATGCCTGATTAAAATGGTCATCCAATTTCACATCTGAGTATTTCATGGCAAGACTTGCAGTAAAACAAGCATGTTGCTTGACCAAGCGACCACAAAAACACCTAAAAAAAACAATGAAATTAAAGACTTTAAAAAAAATTAGGCAATGAAAAACTGAATTAAGATGAATGAATTAAAGAGCAATACAAAAATAACTTGAGCTTTTGACTTTAATATAGCTAATACCAGTATCTTCACTATAGCACTGAAATAGTACAAATACATTAGTATATAATGATATATTCATCTAAATTCAGTGTGAGCTTCTACAAAATATAGTATAGTTATATAATAGGAATAGTATTCAAACACAGAAAGAAATGAACCACTAATAGACACAATAATATGATGTATCTCAAAATCATCATGCTGAATGAAAAAAGCTGGATGCCACCAAAGAGTGCATATTTATATGATACCATGTATAGAGAATTCAAGAAAATACAAATTAATTTATATACCCAAGGATATGTTAAGAACTGCTACACAGCAGGCTATATAATTTCTGAAGTTCACAAAACACAGGCAATAGTTTGTGTTTCTATCAGAAAGAATCAAGAGATCTCATAATACGGGAGGTCTATAATACAATAGGGTCCTCAGGAGAGTAATGCCTATTAGAAAGGCTAACTAAGACCAAGACCACATATGCCCTGTCAGAGTTTAAGAGCAAGACTTCAAGGACCAAACTGATCCAAAGTTACTTAACTGCATGCTAAAATAAGTCCAAATCTAGTGGAATACAACAAAATCCAACACCCAAAACATAAAATTCACAGTGTGCAGCAACCATCAGAAAATACAAGGCAATCAAAAAAGCAGGAAAAAATAAGTGAAAAAATATCACTAATGAAGACCCAGAAATTGTACAGAGGTAATGAAATTAGCAGAAAAGGACACTAAAACAGCTATTATAAATAAGTTCAAACTATTAAGAATATGTTTGAAAAAATTAGAGGAAAACATTAACAGGATGAGGGAGGAACTAGAAAAGTTTTCTTTTTAAAACTAGAGATCTCGTGCACGAATTCATGCACCAGTGGGGTCTCTCGGCCTAGCCTGTGGAATCAGATTGAAACCAGCTCTCCAACTTCCCCCAAGGGGTCCCGGATTGCAAGAGGGCACAGGCCAGGCTGAGAGACCCCACCGGTGCACAATCGAGGCCGGGGAGGAACACAGGAGGTTGGCCAGCTGGGGAAGGACCACGGGAGGGCAATAGAGCATTTCTAGCCCGTCTCGCTCAGTCCCAATTGGCCAGACGCCAGCAGCAAGCTAACCTATCGGTCGGAGCATCTGCCCCCTGGAGGTCAGTGCACATCATAGTGACCGGTCATCTATCTGCCCCCTGGTGGTCAGTGCATGTCATAGCGAGTGGTTGAGCAGCCTTAGCATGTCATTAGCATGTTATGCTTTGATTGGTTGAATGAACAACCAGATGATCAGACACTTAGCATATTAGGCTTTTATTATATAGGATTAGAGGCCCGGTGCACAAAAATTTGTGCACTCTGGGGGGGGG